AGAGAGAGAGAGAGAGAGAGAGAGAGAGAGGGAGAGAAAGGGATAAGGGAAATTGAGGAAGAGCTAAATCGCAGTGTGGGCGACGATGCCGTTGTGACATCGGCCTCGTGAATCAAACCGTCGCGATTGAGCGCGAAGAGTTGGTCGCATCGCACCCGGGGGTGGACCATGAAACATGGATACGTCGCAGGTCGAAAGCGGCGCGACTTCGGAGGAGAAAAGTAAGGAAGGTACGTGCGATTCGCAATAAGTTTTCTCATGAGCCCCGCCAGTGGACTCCCGATGCTTCGTCAGGGTCGCGCGGGGTATCTAATACACCCTAATCATGGATCGTTGTTGTTACGTTATCGTGCGTAAGACGACAGCTCTCCGTTGGCGACGAAGTAGCTATGGGGCCGATAATTCAATTGTTTCATTATTCGCTTATTTTGCGAACTCGCTCTCGCATATTTTCGTTCATATCGAGAATTGATCTAAATGTAAATTACTTATTATTGTTTCATCTATTAATTTAAAGTGTAAGCCGCATTGTTCAAATACGAAGAACAATACATGCTCATATATTTCAATATTTACACGCATGATAATTACGCATAGACTGATAAGTGTGGAAGCAAGTGAAAGCATAAACCGATATATGATTTTACATCTACCAAATGGATCTCGCGCTATTTTTCGCGAAACGAGGAATTCATTCGAATTAGTTTGACAGCGAGACTTATGTCGCGATATAATTTTAAATAACATTCTATCCCGAAGATGCTGGGATGCTCGAGAAGTTGGAATACACCCTGCGCGACGATTCTTGAGTTAAATGCACTTATTTACCGGGCTGCATGCTTTCATCCGAAAACAAATACTTTTAGTTCTATTGATCTTGCGCTTCTCCTCTCACTCACTCTTTTACTCTGTTCCTATCTTTCTCTCTTTCTTTTTCTTGCGCTCTTGCCAATAATGCTTGCGATAGTGGTACAATGCGCCATCGAATTTGTGTGTTCGTCCTGTAGAACCTCCGTTAATTTACGTTCGTGTAAACGTAACACCGCCGCCAACGCCGACACAGTTTCGTTCGTTTCATCTCTGGGACTCGAAGCTAGTATAATTGCCTAGCTACAAGCGCGTACATGCTGTATCCATTCGATCATCGTGTTACTTCTACACTGTCGAGCACGTAGAGATCGAGAGATACGAAAAAGAAAAACACATCCAGGGATTATACCAGTTTCGTGACCAAGGACTGAAATCAATTTTATGTCGTTGAGATCAGATCTTTTCAGAAGCGTGCGAGCACGCGCGTGCGATTTTTACGTTCGTTCCGATCGAGGCACGCGACGATTATCGCGTTTTCTTAAGTCCTTGTGAGACTAGCTATTGTAGATCTAGGATACTGGATTAGGGATTATAATTCGACGAAACAATTAATTTCGATGTTGGCTCGCTTGGTTTCGGTTCGTCAAGTTTTCTATCTTCAATCGGTAATCCTCGATCTCCAACACCTAAGTATTAACAGTCGTTGTCTGAAACTTGTTATCATGTGATATATTCAGATTTTTATTCAAAATCAGATAAATTTTCCCTATTAAATTATAATATATGTAATTTTTATATCTGTAATAGCGATTTAACTGAAAAATTCTCGTCAGAATTGAAATCTGAGTGTCTCACTTGAAACGAGTTTCAAGTAATAACTATAAATTATGGGTGTGTGTTTTATAGATTTAGATTTAAATCCTTTATTTGAATCGTACAATGTATACCGTATTATAATTATTATTGCGATTCAACTGAAAGAATCACATTTAACTCTGAATTCAAATCTAAGTATTTCATATTTGAGAGACCAGTTTCAAGTAATACGAGAATTATTTATGTGATATCTAACGCGGGCTTCGCATCATTCGTGACTAGTCCTTATATTTTCTTTTCCTATTTTTTTTTTTCTCTTATTGAGATTCGTACCGATTATCCCCGTATGTGTTGGAGCACGTTGGTTGGTTTCAACCCCGCAAACGTTGAATTATTTTCAGGCTATGAACGGTAACGAACAGGGGTCTCGAGCGGGTCCGCGTACGCGATACAACCAATCGCCGATCTCGCGAGCTTAGCTAATTAAACTAACGACGGACGACACCGCGCGTGATGTTCGCCCTGAGTAAGCACGTACACGTAACGCACACGCACACGCACACATGGGGAGGTGAATTTACCGGAACAACACCGGGTTCAATCGCCGAATGTGGGCGTTGAACGTGCATCGATTCTGGCAAGCGCCGAACACATGTATGTATCGTTGCTGCACACCCGCGAACACGTCGGGAGATCAACAAGTCGTGCACACAAACCGCCAGGTCGCACCGAGCGCTTCGCACAAATCGGTTGTTCGAAGAGGTGGCCGTCGTGTAACGTGCCGCGACCACGCGATCTCTAAGGACGTCAAATCTCAGAGAGCGCGCTCAAACATGGAGGGCGGACAGGTTGGTGAAGTACCGACGATATTCCATCCCCGACGATCCAACGTGATCCTCAGCGAAGATCAGCAACGTAGCTCGCTCCTCAGTCCCGTCCAGATCGTCGTCGAGCTTATCGAAGCTACAGGTAAGTCGATGCGCTTCAACACGTAGGTCGTGCTGACCCCACTAGGTGTTCTTCCAATGGGCGATTAATGAATGAGATAGAAGAAATGACGACAGTCAAAAGCCATGCTTTCTGTCTAACGTCGAAAACTCTCTTGAGGGAATTTTTATTTTAATTTAACCTGAGATACTGTCCCGATTTTGCAATCTCCTTTGGTCGGTATCGAAAGAACCTTAAAATGATAGTCCTTTTTGCACAAAAGTTATCTGTCAAAGAAGATTGACTGATGATTGTTCCAGTTAACTTATTCTAAGACACTTTCGAGAATTTAAAGGGATTGTAATGTGAAGTGAAATTTTAATTTTCAATCGGCTTTAATTAGAACGTGCCTCGTCACAATTTCAATAAGGTGAGTATAAATTATAGGAAATTATACGTTTTACATAGAAGACAAAAAATATACTGATTAACTCTTTGACGATGGGCAATTGATTTAAAAAACAATCTTCAAAACTTTTTCAAAATAAAAGCGAACTGGTTTAAAAAAATCGGCGATTGAGAGGGCACACAGTGGGTAGAAGGCACCCTGTGTGAGACGGTTGTCGATAAGTATGTTCCGATGATGATAAATATGATTTCGAGTCGGGAAACGCAAATGATCTAGCGGGGTTGGATCCATAGGCTCTTATAGTGTGTAGAGTACTTACGAGAGATTTAGAGCTGCCAGTAAAACTTTGCATTAGCATCTTATTATTAGTATTAGTCTTAGCATTAGCAATTCAGTATCATTAATACGTTCGCGTGCGCATAATATTCCGATTTCGTTAAGCGTAGTTTGCATAGCATAGAAGTCAGACTGAGGAGAAATCGCCAGACACGCTTGACCAAAGCTGCACACGAAGTAGTGGAAACGGGGCACCGCGTTTTATTTTTTAACCGCGTTGGAATTTTTGGGCTTCTGAGGACGCACACGCACCGCATACACGCACCCGCACACATCACGCAGCTTCACTCGCACAGCAATGACACAATTCGTAGATCTTCTCTTTTCTACATTTAGCACAGCTGTGCGTTTAAGTGCACGAATAACGACCTGGATGACGATCATGTAACTTTCCCCGAGAAACAGAAGCGTGAAAAATTCACGTAACTCAGTGATTTCAGCGAGCATGTAATTTTTCGGAAATATATAATTTTTTACGTGAGTTTTTATTTTTTATTTTTCTCTTCCTAGAGAAAGGTTACATGATCGCCATTCTGAAATGAAAACAATCAAAATACTATTAAACAAGTCTAGAAGAGCCGATGCAGGCTTTCAAAAATCGCATATAAAATAAATTATTAAAATAAATTATTAATATATTTGCAAAGGCCTATAATGGATCACGCTTTAATACGTGATCATAACTCATTGATCATAAGTATTTATAAATATATTAATAATTGATTTTAATTATATATTTTTATACGCGATTCTAAAACCTGTGTCAACTCTTGTAAACCTGTTTTATTGTACTTTGATTGCACATCATCAAAGCCGTATTATTAAGTTATTTGAAATGAAAAGACATGCTCTGCACTCGCGGCTAACCTGATTCTTTCTGCGCGCGAACAAAGTTTGCCAGAGTCAGAAGTACCTCCGCGGACGAATTCTGTCAGACCGCCGACGCAATTCGTAATCTCGGGGCACCTGTCTACGATTAATCGCGGAGGAAGGATTCACGGTCCGAATGTTTCAGGATGCGAGCAACAGCAAGGCTGCGTAACCGATGGATGCGGCGATTCCGCATCGAGCTGCCGCACCTTGGAGACCACCGGAAGTGCCGTGGGAAGCGGCGGTGCAGGCGGCGGGGGCGGTGGTAGTGGTAGCGGAAGTGTGCAGACTCAGCCGACGGGTCAAAGTCAGGCGTCGACTCATGTGACCCCGTCTCCAACCCCGGTCGCTCAACAGCCGCAGCAACCGCAGCAACCGAGCTCTCTCTCGGCCTGCTACGCTTCCTGCTGCGCGGAGAGCGCGAAGAAGGTCGATAACGTCTCCAAACACGAGTCGCTGAAAGCTAGAAAATCACGTTACGATCGATTCATCGCGACTCGAGCGACAATCAAACGATCGCTTTGTCGGTTTCTTCTAATAAAAAAAAGAAAGATGGAGAAACGACTGAGCGATCGGGAGATGATCTAGATATCGTGAAGAGAAGCGTTAGGAGGAGAAACGTCCCCTTTATAGACTCAGAATTAATTCGGAATTAACGTCAGAAATTATACGCGCGTCACTTTTGCGCTTGATTATTTTTCATTGCAGATATACTTTGGGGTGTGCGTTACGATATGCGTAACCGCGAGCTGGGTCGGAGCGACTCACTGCATTAAGTATTTGTACTTTCATAAGCCGGACGCCGTCTCGCAGAGTTCCACCTCGAATGCCTCCGTGAACGGACTTCATCATCAGCATGTAAACATCATTTCGCACTCACGTTACTCTCTTGAAATTACTCGAGTCTCTGGTGGCTCCTACATCGTTTCGCTTTGGCCGGACAATTCTCTCTTTTGAGCATTCTCCTCTTTATTTACCGTTGGTTTGGAGACGAGTGATCGTGAGAAAATTGTCTTGACGAAATTGTCAGTCATTTAAACCCTTAAATCTCGAATAACTGACAATTTCACCAAGACAGTTTTGAAGCTTTTGTATTTAAGAGATTTGAATTTAAGGATTTAATATAGGGGCTTGGATTTTTAAATTTCGAATGAATATCAAAAGATTTGAATCCTAAAATTAACATGTACATGTACTTATTAAGTACATGCTACTAGCAGGCAGGGCGAATCCTTTCTATTACCTGGATGATGATTTTACAGATCATCCCGCCGTACAATGCGCCCTTCTTTACAACGTGGTTTTGTACCAACTGGGAAGTCTTGTACTTCCCGGTGTACTTTATTTGCCGCGCGACCAGAACCAAGTGCGCCACGCCGTCGGAGATAATCGCAGAAAGCCTACGTGGCTTTCGTGACAAGGGCTTCACCGGTGGCCGCTTCTTGATCAGGTGCAGCCTCTTCTGTGGTCTGTGGGTCATCACGAATTACATGTACATACATTCCTTGAGGATACTCCTGGCTACGGACGTGATGGCGTTATTTGCGACCAATGTCTCCTGCGTCTATCTATTATCGTGGGTCATCCTTCACGAACAGTTCGTGGGCGTGAGGGTTAGTAGCAACGAGATTTTCTGTAAAGTAATGTTTAAAATATTTTCCAAGATGTCAGGATTACTTAGGTAAAAATATAATTCAAGGATTCAACATGTGTGTGTGTGAGGATTGCTTGATCTCTTGTGTGATATAGTTTCACTGTGCATCCTCCATTGTTGAAGCTAACATATTATCCTCTTTTATTTACAGATAGTCGCAGTGATCCTTTGCAACACCGGTATCGCGTTGCTTGCTTACATGGACGGTATAACCGGAAGTCCAACATTGGGAGGCGTCGTTTTAGCCACATCAGCGGCAGCTGGCTCTGCCGTTTACAAGGTAAAAACGAGCATAACCTTAAGTATTCATGATTTGCGATCACGGAGACACCGAGTTCTCGCAACGAACCGTTCGTCTGTCCAGGTCCTCTTCAAGAAAGTGATAGGAGAGACCACGTTCGGTCAAATGTCTCTATTTTTCTCACTCATCGGTTTATGCAACGCCGCGCTGTTGTGGCCGATCTGCCTGGCCCTGTACTTCTCAGGAGCGGAAACCATGCACTGGGCAAGGCTGCCATGGGCGACGTTACTTTCTGCTAGCATCCTCCACTTAGGTCTGGATCTCGTGTCGAGTTAATTCGTTAGATTCTCGAAGCTTTACTCGCGACTTTAACATGCACCTCTTCAATGGTTTGTTCACAGTCGCCAATATGCTCGGCAATTTCAGCATCGCGCTCACTTACGACCTGTTTATCACGCTCGGACTGATAACGGCTGTACCCGTATCCGCTGGTAAGTAAAAGTGATTGACTAATTATTTTCACATAACATGCATAAAATCCATACATTTAGCACTTTCGAGTTCTTCTCGTAATACACATTCAAAACGCATTTCTATAATAAGTGAATAATAATGTAACAAATTCCCTTATTCAGTAATTTCTATTTTTGTATTCTATTTTCTGCAATAATTTTCATAAAAAATAAGCAATAATAATTTATAAACGTGTAATGAAAAATTTCTTTGAAAATGATATGATAAATTTACACAAATTTGAAATATATGAGAATAGGATTATTCCTGATAATCCGTCATTTCTTTGATCAATCGCTGACACGATTACATAGCACTGGACGTGGTTCTTTACGGGGCGCATTTCGTGGGAATGAAATTAGCGGGCATGATCTTCATCGCGGTCGGTTTCTTCCTCGTGATGTTCCCGGACAACTGGCCGGACTACATAACGAGGCTACTCCGGTACGTTTCTTTCAAAGTTCGTCTCCTGTATAATGCGGTTTTGTGGTATGCACCTATCTTTAATTCGGAGTTCATTTGATTTTTCTTAGTCTTTAGTTTCTCTCTCTAGCGAATTCTAAGTACGTCCTACATACGATTCTATACTTCTATACTTCTGTATACATTTCTCTTTTATACTCTCTTGCAACACGATATCGGACTGTTTTCTACCTTGTTTTGCACCAGGATAGAGGCAGCGCGTAGTCTCTCACTCAAGTAGGATGTGCTTGACCTATATTTATTACTTACCTTCTTTACACTTCGCCTTTATTTCGACGATCTCTCGGGAGCAAGTACACAGAGTGTTAATTCTCGTGAAAGCACATTTCTCATTCTCTCAAAGGGTCTTAATGCGGGCGTAATGATAATTGCATCATAAATCGCAACGGCGATCTTTCGCGCATCGTCTATTTTCCAACATAGACGCCTCATCTTCGTCGCGAGAAATGCCGTCGTCGATCAGATTATCGATCATAGGCGTCGAAAATTCCTCGCAAAGCGGCAATGCGAATTATTATTTCGTCACTCTGTTGCTCGTGATCTGCCCTTTCCGTTTCTGGAGGAATTCTAGAAAGAAGGTTTCGCGACTTGGATTCGCGTCGATGTGATTCTCTCTGTGATTTATTTTTGCGGCCCCATCGATCACACCTCGCAGCTTCGCATCATTTAAAGGCGACTCGCGCGCTTCTCGTCACATCTCGCTTCAGAATAAGAGAAAAGAGAATATTGAAGACCAGCATTGATATTGTTTTACAGGATGCCCGGAATATGCGACAGGTTTAAAGTGTAATTAAAAAAAACAAAATGAGTATGTTTTGTAGCGACATACGAGCGATTACGTCTACTGGCGTAGAAAGCTCAAAGATAACGCACAGTCCTCCCGTAAGACCAGAGATATATACGTTTTAAATACGTCGTGATGTCGACCAGTGTAAGCAGAATCCTTATCGTCTAGCTTCTTCTCCTGTTTCGATATTCTTTCTGGATTTAGTCGCTTCGAAAGCAATGCCTCTGATGCATTACGTTAAAACGAGTCTCGCTTTCGCCATTTTCATACAACTCCGCAAACAGTCAGTGAAGGAATTCGAATTGCTCGAAGAGGTTTTTTTATAATTTCAATACGAATTTCGATAGGAATATACTTTTCATATGTTATTATTCTTGTTTTTGTTCCTTTAGTTTTGATTAAAAAATTCGAGATTCCACAAATTTATTTCTCAGTCTACACACGTTAGGTTCCTTTTGATTACGTTTCACACGACCCTGTCAAAAAGGCTTATTTGAATATTGAATGTTCGTCCTTGTTCAAAAAATTGGGCATATTCGTCGACAGTCGGAAAATTTGTTCGTTGGAATTATACAACGAACATACACATTATTCGGCTCTTTAGAAATTTGATTGTTTAGATAGAAAATTTGAGTTGGAAAAAAAAACGACTGATTTGCTTGAGCTGCTTGTTGTATTGTCTGTGAAATCAACGTCGACACTTCATCACTCGCTTCCCACAACAATCAGGATCCATTATATGCTGTTACAGAAACATAGTCCTCATGAGTCACAGTGCAAGGTAAGAAAATACATCCCATACGTCTTGCTCTAGTTCTACTGAAAATTCATCTCCATTTGTCTTTCTGTCATTCGCTACAAATTCGTTGTGATAATCCATGTGGATTGCAACGAAGTGAAAACTTTGGATAATTTCGTAGTGCAAGTCGACAATGGAGGATTAAGACGCAAGTTATCGAATCTCGCAAATAAATAAATTTATGGCAATAGACTTTTGCATTTCTTGAAGTGACAAATATTTCGAATAAAAAATTATTAGAAGAAAGAAAAATTATCGTTTCTGAAAGTAAACTTATAATCTTATTCTATCTTATCGCACATTATATCGTAAATTATTATTTATCTGAATATATATTAAAAATCATCACAATGTTGAGCGACGTTTGACATATCTAAGAATGCCATTTGTCTGCCATCGATGAATTTTCTGTAAAACAGCAAGCGCTATAAATGTCGATAAGCGCATGTGATTTATGATATTCTCTCCATTTCCTCCATTCTGCATGCGTACGATTGAATCTGGCTTACCCTTATCACGCTCGCAGCTCTTAAACGCGAACGGCACGCCTTTTCTTCACTCTCCCCCCTCGCCCCGATGTCATTTTTTACCTGGTCATGCATCGCGTGTTTGTACAAACATAGGTAAATGCAACCGATTCCTTATTCGAGATTCGAGCGATCGAGTACGCGCGTCATCGACGACGGAGCGCGCATTAGTTTCAAAATCGATCCCTCCGCTGTCCCCGAGAGTCTCGCGAGATTGCTTGCTTTGACGGTCGTGCTCGTGAAGCATCCCGGAACGGTGTACCTATTTTGCCCTTAACGTATTACACAGTTATAGACATATATATACTTACATATCTATATCTATATTTATATAACTTAGTCGCGTTTTTTCTTCTTGTCTGTTTGCCCCACGTTCTCCCGCCTGTCTAATTAGCGATCTGTCGCCGCGCGTCGCGGAAAGTTCCGCGACGCTCACAACGGCGAGCTGTCGCACAGTTCCGTAATTTCTACGCTTGATTCCCGAGTAAGTGAAACCCGCATATCGCTGATCGCAACCGCGCGACGTCCCCTCGATTAAGAAAAAAAAAAAAGAAAATGAAAACGAAAGAAAATCGAAAAGAGATAATAAGTATATAAATAAGTAAAAAAAAAAAAAGATATCAACGAGAGCCTCCCCCGCGTCGCCGGTCGAGGTACACGCCGGCCGAGAGGAGCCACCCGCAGGTGTCGTCCCCCGCACGGAGATAATCGAGAGACCCGACTGATGAGAGCCTCGCGATTGATATGTATATACGCAGTACCTCGGAGAGTCAGCAAGGACGCAGGAACGTCGTCAGGAGTCGCACGGCGTCCCTGCAGCAACGCCAGTACCGGCTGAGGAGCTACGGCGTCTCCGCCGCGCACGGCGACGGCCAGACGTTGCTGCCGATCAGCAACAGCAACAGCAGCAACAGCCAACAGCCCATCGCAGGTAGCGGTGGCGGTGCCGCAAATCGGCAGCTTAACAGCTCGCAACAACAACAACAACAACAGTACAGCTCGACCTCTGAAACCCAACCACGCTGTGTCCTTCCCTCCACCTCGACCTCGACCTCGACCTCGACCTCGGCCACCGTCGTCGGCAACAGCCACCGGTGCGCGATGTCATCATACTCGCACCTCGATCCTCGCAATCATCAAGGTATGAGAACGATCAGGCTGGTGGCGTCGAAGCCACGCGCGACGCGGTAAGGGAGAGAAGAGATCAGGTAGGAACCTCGCGCGGGACGATCGAGATGGATCGAGCGTGGTGTTGAGATCTAGTGGCTGGCGATCTCCCAGTAGCCGTTGTCTTAGACGTGTTTTTCGTTGTGCCGCGATATCGCTCGTTTGAAAGAAAGAGAACGAAAGAAAGGAAGAAAGAGAGAGAGAGAGAGAGAGAGAGAGAGAGAGAGAGAGAGAGAGAGAGAGAGAGAGAGGGTGAGCAAGTGCTGGATGGAGCAGCCGAGCAGGGCACGAGCGAGCTAGCTATTTAGCTAGTCAGCGAATGGCAGTCGCGAGTCGTTTCAAGATCGCTGAGTATTGAGCTGCGTGTAATGCAATGTTGCTGTCTGAGCTAGAAGCTAAATGATCGGTGTAACTTAGCGCAAATGCCGTGCGTTGATAGCGAGTGTATGTGCAGGTTGCTTCGGGACTATCGCTGCTCTCGTCCCTTCCTCGATACAGTTCTCTCATCTTCTGCAAGTTTAGAAACGCTTCTTTAATATCAAATATAATAGAGACAAATGTTAGCAAGTCTCGTACTAATGTTAATTATAAAATATTTTTATTACCAAATGAACGTAAATGAACGCTGAGAAAAAATACTTGAAAATTTTTTCGTGGAATATATAAAGTTCATTTCTTTAAATAAACTTTATATTCTACTAACAGATTTTCAAGTATTCTTTTTCTCAGTGTAAGTCAAAATATTCTGTTGGGGTAAAATTCGTTTGATATTAAGGAGTTAATAAGGTTTGCTCGTCTATTTGGATCTTCATTAATTCGTCGAATATCTTCGTTTTCTGTCATTTGAATTTAAATAACATTCATAGCTTCTGGATTTTTCTGAGAGGATACTTGATCTCAGGTCAATTGGAGATCATAAATGTGAGGCGATAGTTATGGGGCACCCTGCATATCGATGTGTGACAGCACGTGCGTGCGATAGGGGATATCTTTTGCTGAGCTCCCAAATCTCTTGGCATCTATTTATCCATAGCTCGTAGTGATTCCCCTTTAGTGCCCTGTGTCTCGTGAATGTTTCAGGTATTCTCGTGAATGTTCCAAGTATCTCGTCTTTATTTTTATTACATACATAGTCGGTGTGCGCGCGCGCGCGCGCGTGTCCTTGGTGTGCCGTATAGATTTTTGGAATGAAACATCGCGACGTGTGTAAGCTGCTCGATACTTGACGAAATAATCACTGTTGTGGCACTCGTCGACCGCATCTCTCGCGAAACAAACGGATAATCCCGTCAATGACAATTGATCGCGACTAATCGCATCTCTCGTTGTTTGAATATTTGTTATATAACGGAACATCCATGTCTCTTCGCGACAGATGTGACTTCGGTATCATGGCGTGGGGATTTTCTAAAAACACGCATAAAATAAATCGGCGCGACAGTCAAGAAATAAAACGTATTTATAAATTTTTCATTCTTTACACAGAAATATCTTTCGTCTTCATTCCGGAGACAGAAAAGCCGAAGAAATGGCAAAATAAAGAAATAAAATTGCTGGTTCTTTATTTTCCAAACGCGAAATATCAAGCACGATAATATTAAACGTTTCAACATAAATTTGATATTATTTGAGACGCGGGAATGAATCTTAAGAAACAAGAAGCGTAATGAGATCGATAGGGAGGGAGAACGCGATCGCGTTTATGATAAAGTGATGAAGAATATCGGAAAGTTTCCACGCGCGCGACTTTACGGTCGAGCTGACGAAAGACGACAAACGCGCTCTGCATGCTGACTGACCACATTACCGGCCACGGCCGTTAGAACCATTCTGGAATAACGCGCCTTTCACTTTCGCAGGTGGAGCAGGAGACACAGGCACGGCATGTCAGGTGGATCGTCGCGCGACGTGATCGATTACCGAACTGGTTACATAAAGTCGCACCTACGCTCGCCCTCAGGAAGAGTTCGGTGACTAGACACACCGCCGATAAGCGAATCAGAAATTAAAAGATCGTGCTGGTGGATGGCGTTGATAGACCGTTTCGCCGGCGATACGGTGGTCAGAGCTCTCCTCCAGATGTAAGCGCGAATTCGATTCGATCAAGGTGAAAGAGAAGCTCTTTCACCCGGCTATCCTTGAGTCTTTAGGAGCGTTTCAAGATGACGTTTTAAGGCGACGCTTCAGCGCCTTCTCACAGCACTGACGTTGATTATCCTTGATCGTAGCTCGATTAATTTTCCATCTCTTCCTGACTGTCGCGCATCGGAGATATCTCTCGTGGTGTTAGTGCGAATTAATTAACATATGCATCGTGCTCGATAGATTGAGAAACGGTTTGGTCTGAAAATAGCACCGTATCGGCGACAGTCTGGCGGCTATTGAGTTCCTCTGGGTGTATCTCATTACGGAAAAAATCGTGAACTTGATATCGTACAGTAATATAACGTAAACAACAACGCGCCGGTTTAATACGGTCCGAACTTAAGGCTCCCGGTTCTTGATTGCGACCATATTGAATTATCAAGCGAGAAATCGGTAACGTCAGCAGCAAGAAGTCGTGCTGATTCTTCTCTTGCACTGCTCTGAGTCGAAATTCTGTATTAGATCTTGCACACATTACCTGCACCTGCAAATTCCATCGAACTTTATATATAGAGAATCGAGAGATATAACATTGTGTTGTCTTACTTTGATGCTACGAATGTACCTTGAAGATACGAATGTAAGTTACTGCCATTCTTCTCATATTAGGTCTTACATATAAGGAGGCACTTATTTTAGAATTTGACACTCCATCATCTCGGTATTTTATTCGCATATAATCTCCACACTATTTCTCGCTCCTGACGTGTCTTAATTTAATGTGACTGCAGTGAGGAGAAACCGAAGCCTAAATTGGAATTAAAATTTGATCGTCGCGGGGGAAATGTATCGATCAACGCGTTTCTATTCTGTCGGCAGAAATAAAGCTCATTTTCGCGCGTCGTCGCGCCGGAATCTCCAAAACTCTCGACGGGATTCGGCGGCCCGCGCGAGTAAAGCACGGAAAATGCAATTAGGTACAATTAATCGAGTCGAGATCTTCATAATCTTCGCATTAGCATTCGCGTTGATGCTCGACGCGACGTCGTCGTCGTCGTCGTCGGTGAAAGTTATACAAACAAACAGACGCGCGCAATACGTAAAGACAATCAGAAATAGCGAACTAGCTCCGATAGACATCGTCGCTCCGTGTAGATATCGTTTGTAGCGGTTGTGCCGCGCGCAACGAGATATAATAACGTTTTACGCCGTTTTACCACGACACGTGGTTAGCACTGGCGGACTCGTAGCGAGATACTCATCCCGTGAGGGATTAACGTAACGTCACAGGGTGGATAATAGATTAGTCCTTATTTCTGCTGATTCTGAGCAATAAATTTTCAATCGTCTACCATAGTGTTCTAACGAGCGTTGAGATTCGCGACGCTCGCAAAAGGAAGCGCGAATCCGCAGAGAGAAAAAGAAAGAGACGTAGTCGATACGCGAGGAAGACTCGGCTCGTCGTGGCTCAATTTACGATATACCATACCCGGTATTGTTGTTTCCGTATCTCAACCGAAACCGACACAGGGCGACGCGATTAAGCTGTGTAATCGCGCGGCCGTTCGCGATTTCAAAACTTCAAGTGCGGAGGATCTCGGCGAACTCGAACAAGAATCTCCGCGATAAACTTCGTATGAGAGAAGCGAGAGTTATATTAAATATACACGTGCGTTTTATAAGAGAGCGTCGTTCAAGAGGAAAAAGCAAGTTTCGTAAAATTATTTCATTGATATGTCATTCTCTTTAACTAATCTCAATCTAATCATCCTTATATATACGCGCGTTACGCGTAACTCGATATAATTACTTTTCACTCGATGCTATTCTCGATTATCATAACTCGATATAATCAATACGTAATTACAAGTATCATCTATAAGTTTCATGTGTAAGTTTCGAAACGTTGGATTAAATTGAGATGTGTCGGTGCGCATGTTAACGGATTTACTTCGTTTGTACGTATATTGTCAATTACACAGAGATATTAATTAACGTACAGCAAGATTGCGCACGATTGCAGTCGCGGTATATTCGTTGTAAGATTATTGCGATATAGAGAGAGATTTTAGTTGAACGTTGACATACAAAGAGTACTATTACGGAAGCTTACGAAGCGAATGTGATGTGTCTCAATAATAAATTTAGTTTAGTAAGAACACCACTTGTCGTTTTTTCTCCCTGTGACAGTCGAATACTGCAAATTTGCAGGCGCAAAAATCCACGTTCGAACTTCACATTAAGCACGAGAGCGGCTATCTCGACTCTACGAGAAAGACTTTACAACCCGTGAATTCCGAAAGATCCGGGACTTTGTAAAAAAAGAAAAAATAAAGCACATAAGAAACTGGTAATGATACATAATATTAAGTTGATTAAGTTGATAACAGATTTGTCGCGTTTGTCAAATAAAACAGAAAATAAAGTTCTCCATTTTAGAAGGATTGATCATTTTCACGAGCAAAATAAACAATAACGGTATATTTTTGGATATCTAAGCAGGACTTCCTATTTTTCTTTGGTGTTTCAGTTTCCTACGAGAATTTATTAGAAAAAGATAACAAGTCTTTTGTGATACAACTATCACTAACTTGTTGATAATTATATAATATAATAACTATTTTCTGTTTCGACTGAAAAATATCAATTCTAAATACCAATGGAATATGGATCAAAGTGTCCTCGTAATATTGTGTGGACGAAGTGAAGTTCTTCACGCGCTCTTGCGCACCGGATGTATGGGGTGATCCATCCCAGATAGATCGGGCGGGTGTTTCTCGAAATAGATTAACTCTCGCATCACTTCCTGGCCTATTCCCCAAAGATCGGGATACTTCTGCTTAAAATTGTCGTACCACTTCGCCACACGGGGCCACGCGTCTAATTTGAAGTCGATGACCTCCAGACACATTGTCGAGGCTATTAGCGGCAGGTCGGCGATCGTCAAACTATCTGTAAACCGCAACAACAATGAAAAATGCGATAACAGCAAAATCGTCGATTAATTGATGCAAGACTCGTCGAATCCGACATTTTTGACAAAAATGTACCTGCGCGTGATTTAATGAAACTTAGACGATCTCACTATTCAATTTCGAAATTATATAACTTACTATTTAATTTCGCAACGTGTCGAGTTAAAATTCGAAATATGAGAGAGAGATATGAGAGAGTGGAGATGAAAATAATTAAGATTCACACTAACCGCCCGCTGCGTACTCGCAGTTTCCGCGTTCCAAGTACGTGTTGAAGATGTCCAACGCGATCTTCATTTTTTTCAGACCGAGCGGAGTGCGTTGGTAATTGTAGAATATCGGCGCCAACTGCGGATACACGATAAAGAATCGGTGTGTATGTATATGCACGTCTAAGATATTAACAGTAGTTACTTGTTTCACGTGAAATACTCAGATTTGAAATTCAGAGTTGGATCTGAGTTCTTCATTTGAAACATACGATATACATGACATTATATCTATAATTTCAAAATTCAACAGAAAAATTCACATCTAATTCTAACTCTGAGTGTCTTACTTGAGACACAAGTTTTAAGTAACGACTGTTAACCCTTATTGTACACTGTGGGATTAAATAGATCCCAGAAAAAATAAATAAATAAAATAAATCTATATATTTTGGAAAAACTATTTGCTTTTTTCACAAAAATCTTAATTTCGATATTCACAATAAATATTTTTTTTTTTTAAATCTTGCTATTGTACTAATTTTTTTCTTAAAGAGATATATCTTGAGAGTAGTTTCTTAAAATCTTAAAATATAAAAAATTGTGTCAGTTATGATTTTTGAAGCAAGTCAAGTCATTTCTCGCGCTTCCCAATTTTGGGCTTCCCTTTTTTGGGCTTCCCAATTTTTTTCATTTAAAATCAAATTTTGTCTAGAAAAATTATTCCGTTATATAAAAAGATGTTTTAAATATATCCTGGAATTTTTTAAAATAAAAAAAGCGAATAATTTTATTGCAGCAAACATTTTTGTAGCTGGGGTCGCGAAAGACTTCAGTGTGCTCATTATGTGATTCTACTGAAGTGTGCACAATAAAGGTTAAAACGAGCCTAAATCTATTCGAGAAACGTTTAAAAAAAGACAGCAATTAAATTGACGTGCACTTACAATATACTCGGAGATATTGCGATAATAGAACGCCAAATTGAAGCATAGACGATGGTTGATAATGGCTCGCGCCTTGTTGTCCTTCGGATAAAACTTGCTGCTCGTGTCATATTGGTCGGCTAGATATTGTAAGATAGCGTTGCTGCAAAATAGTATTTCGCAATAGTTGATAATGAATTCCTTGAACATTTTATTTCATGTTGCAACACGCAAAGCGCGAATGTTATTAACGTCGCGTTCCTATTTAAAAAATTATGCATACAAAACGATAATGCTACATAAGGTCTGACCTGAATATCAATCTAAATCAATGTAAATTAATGAGATAATAATTGATTTACAATGTAAAATTCCGTCTAAATGTAATGTATATCCTCGCATAAAGTAATATGCAAATTCTTGCGTAAAATAATAGTCTGCCAGCGTGAGATGTTCTTCCCTAAGTTAATAATCTATTGATTTTTTATTAATTTATTCATCTCTTTATACAATTTGCATATTTCCTATTGAATTCCGCATGTAGTGCGCAGTTTATTTCACGTCTATACTTTCAAGCTTCTGGTCTTAGTGGCAAACTCTACCGCTTAATTTACTTTTCAACATTTTTAAAACTTCCCAAGCAGGAATCGTATACGTTTCGCCAGTACGGAAAAATAGCCCGATACCGAAAAGCGGATGCCCGGTTTTCGTACTGGCTCAGTACTGAGCCTAATATAAAAAAAACTATATTATTGGTACTGGCTCCGTACTAAAGTTAGGTATTAAGGTAGGATAGTCGTATTGTACGTATATTAGGGCGTTATCAAAAAGTATTTGTCGTTTTCGGTACTGGCCCAGTATTAAAAAAGCTGTATTATTGGTACTGGCCTTGTTCGTAGAATCAGTATTGAATACCCAAGTAAGAATCGTATACAATCTGCCAATAGAGGATACTGGGCTAGCATTGTGCCGGTACCAAAAAACGGACGATACCAATGTTCTTTATGGGAAAACGGAAGAGTTCACTAACGCGAAACCTAGATAACTTAGTGGTAAGAACGCTTGCCTGACAAGCGGAAGACTCGAGTTCGATTCCAGCCGTCGCCCCGAAGATTTTTTCCTCACATAACTATTAAAAATAGACCTATATAGGTACGAGAGAGAGCGGCCCCGGCCATGGTCTGATCTTTTCTTTCCATACTATATAGTTGTGATATTAACAATTGTACAAATAATAAAAATTATTAGGAATCGATATTGACCCAGTACTGCCCAATGAGAAAGGTTACGTCGATTCGACGTCTATCAGACGTCTATATGAAACGTCTATCTACCATCTACATATAATCTAGATTAAGATCTATATCGACCTAAAAACAGTCCACATTTCGATGTCTTATCGATGTCTAATAGGCCGTCTTATCGATGTCTTTTAGACGCTTTAGATGTCTAATAGGTATCAATGCGATGTTTATTTAACTGCTATTTTTTCCTGGGTAAAAGCCCAGTGAGAAATTACTTATTGATCGACGTCAAAATCGTCAAATAGACGTCGATCGATAAGTCATTTCTTACCGGGTTGTTTCATAAAAAAACTAATTCCTAATTTTCTTCATGTCTTATAATACAGGTAACTGCTTATAACTGCTAGAAATCGAAGATTGTCAAATACACGCTAAAACTTTCGCGAATCCTCCCTCGATAATTTCAAATCCGAAGCGGTCACCCAACCATTCTAACTGCGTTGTTTAAACCCTGACGATTGAGCGGCACGCGGTGATTCTAATGACTCTAACGACGTTCTTACAATTTATTCTTATAAAATGTATACTTACAGTGTTCACAGTATATTACAACGTATCTAGCAAATACACGCGTTGATTCGCCTATCTATTTTATTTAATATTTCTAAAGTTTATGTAGTTATTTGCAAAATGACTTTGACCATTTCTTCCCGTTTAATGTTTTTCGAGTAATCTGACATTCGTATCTTTATAATACTATAATTGAAACGGAAATCTAAAAAAAAAACTGACGTCACCACTTAGAATAAATTTTTTACGCAAAACGTGCGCGATCCCAGTGAGAAATGACGTCGAAAAAACGTCGACCAATAAGTCATTTCTCACTGAAATAGCGATTACGAGCTAAAATTTCCAAGACAGTAGAACAACTTGTTACTTTTATATAAAAGAAAAAAATCTTTACGTCTTAGTAAAAAAAACGACCTAAAATGTATTAATTTTATTAATGAATAAATTAAATATTAATATAACTTACTTATTAATAAAATATTAAGAAAGTTATAGAAAGAAAAGAATATTATAGTAAGTTTATTATGATATATCATTAAGAAGTATGTCCAGTGTAGCGGGTTTTAAAATATCAGTAAACAAATATCCTGTGTATCTCAAGTCAAATATCTAGTAAAAATGAAAACATTTTTACGCGTAAAGCAAAAGATATATATTAGACATCGATTCAATATCGAATAGACGTCTAAAGAGATTGTAAATAATCGACAAAATAAAATCCCGAAATTTTATCTAAAACTCTCTTTTAATAGTCAATGTATTATGAATGGATTATAAAACATTAAAATTTACTCAAAATAGAAAACGTCCACATTGCCATTTTTCTAGACGTGCATTTAGACGTCTAAATGCACATCTAGAAAAATGGCAATTTAGACGTTTTCTATTTTGAGTAAATTTTAATGTTTTACAATCCATTCACAATATATTGACCATTCCCAGCGAGAAAGGTTACGTCGATTCGACGTCTACCAGACATCTATATGAAACGTCTGTCTACCATCTACGTCTAATCTAGATTAAGATCTATATCGATCTAAAAACAGTCCACATTTAGATGTCTAATAGACCGTCATTTCGACATCTTATCGATGTCTAATAAACCATTATTTCGACATCTTATCGATGTCTTTTAGACGCTTTAGATGTCTAATAGGTATCAATGCGATGTTTATTTAATTGATATTTTTCTCTGGGTAAAAGCCCAGTGAGAAATGACTTATTGATCGACGTCGAAATCGTGAAATAGACGTCGATCGATAAGTCATTTCTTACTGGGTTATTTCATAAAAAAACTAATTCCAAATTTTCTTCATGTCTTATAAATTGCTAGAAACCGAAGATTGTCAAACACACGCTAAAACTTTCGCGAATCCTCCCTCGATAATTTTGAATCCGAAGCCCGTCACCCATCCCATCTTGACTGCGTTGTTTACCTGACGATTGAGCGGCATGCGGTGCCGCATGGATTCCAACGACTTCAACGATGTTCTTACAATTTATGCTTATAAAATGTATACTTACAGTGTTCACAGTATATTATAACGTATCTAGCAAATACACGCGTTGATTCACCTATCTATTTTATTTAATATCTCTAAAGTTTATTTAGTTACTTGCAAAATGACTTCGACTATTCCTTCCAGTTTTATGTTTTTCGAGTAATGTGACATTCCCATCTTTGTAATACTATAATTGAAACGGAAATCTAAAAAAAAACTGATGTCTCCACTTAGAATAAATTTTTTATGCGAAACGCGCGCGATCCCAGTGAGAAATGATTTATTGATCGACGTCGAAAAGACGGGATAGCGATTACGAGCTAAAATTTCCAAGACAGTAGAACAACTCATTACTTTTATATAAAAGAAAAAATCTTTACGTCTTAGTAAAAAAAGACAACCTAAAATGTATTAATTTTATTAATAAATAAATTAAGTATAACTTATTTATTAATAAAATATTAAGAAATTTATAGAAAGAAAAGAATATTATAGTAAGTTTATTGTGATATATCATATTAAGGGGTATGTCCACCCTTATAGAAATATCATACTAAGAATCATTGATAATTACTTATTTTCAGTATTAAAAATACTGGATAATAAGTAATTATCAATGATTCTTAGTATGATATTTCTATAAGGGCAGTGTACTTAAAATTGGGACTTAAAATATCAGCAAACAAATATCCTGTGTATCTCAAGTCAAATCTCTAGTAAAAATGAAAACATTTAAAAAACGCGTAAAACAAAAGATACATATTAGACATCGATTCAACATCGAATAGACGTCTAGAGAGATTGTAAATAATCGACAAAATAAAATCCCGAAATTTTATCAAAATTTCTCTTTTAATGGTCAATATATTGTGAATGGATTGTAAAAAATTAAAATTTACTCAAAATAGAAGACGTCTAAATTGCCATTTTTCTAGTGCATTTAGACTAGACGTAACTTAGATCTTTCCGACGTCGGTTAGATGTCGAATCGACGTCTGCGTTCTCGTTGAGTGGGAATAGGTACTTCCCCAGTGCTAAAAATCAATACTTTTTTATATTGGTACAGTATTGATTTTCGGTACTGTGACAGTACTGTTTTCCGATACTGGTCTTTTTCTATCATCCCAGTATCACACTAATTCTAAACCCGTATTGGCCTCTGATACTGTGCCAGTAACGTTTACTATAAATCGGTACTGGGCCACTTTGATGCCAGTAGTAAATTCCTACTTGGGTTATTACAAACTTTTAAAAACTAGAGTTAGATACATTTAATGCATTTAATTACTCACCTTTCGCCCATAACAAGATCACCGTCGACGAGAGTAGGTATTTCTTTCTGCGGATTGAGCTACGAGAAGAGGAACGGAGAGATTTTTAATCAATTTTTTACTTCTTTACTTTTAATTAAATACCTTCTCGTATTCCTTAGTCATATGCTCGCCTTTCCCAAAATCGATGTTGATCAGTTCAAAATCGACCTTCAGAGCTTTCAGAAGCATCCGACATGCAAGAGACGGCGGGCCGTCCGAAACAGAATATAATTTCATCTTATATTTATAGAGCACGATACAATGATGGAATTCACAAGTGCACAAGTTAAATGACTTTGAATTTACGCGTTAAATAGAACCGTCCAAATGGACGGAAGCACAGAAACTAAGCTAATAGTTGCGTTACGACTGAAGAAATATTAGTATCCTTTCACCGATGGTTTACATCAGTATAAAGCCCATTCTACAATTGCGTAAGCGTAGTTGTGAACGTAAGAGTCAACCAATCCGAATGTTTTATTCACTAATTGCTTTACTCTGATTGGTTGTCGTAATCACTTACAACCACTTACATCCACGTTCACGCAATTCTAGAATGGGCTTAAGACTCGTCACGATAAAGCGTGACCTATTTTACAAGTCACATGACAGTGGGTGCTTTCCAATTCCAATATCCCTAGACACTTTCATGTACACGGCGACACAAGTTGCATTTCAATTGTCGTAATCGTCGACATAACACTACACATCCGTACTCAGATCGAGGGCTACTAGTCGGCTGTGTAAACTAGTGTTTTCTAGTGACAATTAAAGTTAATAAGCGTAGCGGCTTGAAAAGAGGCTGGCATTTGCGACGTGAAGTGGATAATATCTTTTTTATTATTTAAATTTTATTATTTATTATTAAAAAATACCAAAATATAAACACAATTTAAAAATAATCCTAACCCTACCCGACATACGTACACATTAGTACACACTTTGTTCCAATTGAATTGTGCACAACGTTACACTTTGTGCATTTTTGTGTACATATATGTCAAAATGTGTTAAACGATTGGAAAGCACCCAGAGACTAGCTCCCCATAAATTAGTCGTTATCTATCTTATCATTCAGTTATTTTAGAAACAATCGATGGTAATATCGAGTACACGAATTTTTTACATATTGTTTACATGGCACACACGCAAACACGCACGCACGCACGCACGCACGCACGCGCACACGCATACACACACACACACACTTTTTTCTTCATGTAAACAATGTAAACTATTGTATAACAATGGGTGCTTTCCAATTGCTTAACACATCTTGACACATATGTTCACAGAAATGCACAAAGTGTAACGTTGTGCACAATTCAATTGGAACAAAGTGTACTAATGTGTATGTATGTCGGATAAGGTTAGGATTATTTTTCAACTATGCTTATATTTTGGTATTTTTTAATAATAAATAATAAAATCTAAATAATAAAAAAGATATTCACTTCACGTCGCAAATGCCAGTCTTTTTTCAAGCCGCTACGCTTATTAACCTTAATTGTCACTAGAAAACACTAGTTTACACAGCCGACTAGTAGCCCTCGAGCTGAGTACGGATGTGTAGTGTTGTGTCGACGATTACGACAATTGGAATTCAACTTGTGTCGCCGTGTGCATGAAAGTGTCTAGGGATATTGCAATTGGAAATCCAATGTAAACGTAGAATATTGTAAATTATATTAAAATATACAGAAGAGTAATTAAATTATAAAGAAGTTGTAATATATATTTTAGATATTAATTATAAATGTATCTATTTAAAAAAAGATAACAAATTGCAAGAAATTTTCATTTATTATATAACAGATTGGTAGATTCAACTCTAAAGGTAAGAATATTACCAGAAAATTTTTCAGAGTGGGTATATGGGTATTATTTAGGAAACAACGTTTTTATAAATTTATATCAGGATTTTAAAGGTTAAATAAGATTATAAACTTTTCTTAATTAATTTTTGAGCAAGCCATACATCTTTTAATCAACATCCACAGATTACTCATTGTCTACATAGATGACATCTCGTGTATAGTTTATAAGTTGTCTACACGTAGACTTAGAGTATCATAATTCACACGTAAATACCCAACACTGCTTTAAATTACATGAAGTCCTTTAGATATCTTTAAATTCATGTTCTCTGAGTAATGTTTTAATCAGAGTTTGTCTCAAATTACGCATTGTAGAATTACAGTAGGACCTTGTTATAAATCTTCTGCTGTAATCTCGCTCTGTAAGTTCTTTCCTCTCTACGTATGTTTTCACATTATTATTAACTAATTAAAGCAAACGACAGAGATTAGATATTTCAGCGCTATCGGAGAAGAGGGTCTCGCTATAAGCCCGTCTTATACTTCTATAGCCCTGAAATGTGATTTATAACAGGATCCTACTGTAACAACGTTTTCAAGTAATACATATGGTATTATAAAAATACTATCAATGCTTATTTGAGAATATATTGTATATAATTTATTCAGAATCTCGTATATTATCTCGTCGAGGATGCAATGTTAATCAATCAATTTAATATTAATCGTCAATGTAGGAACACAGCTGCAACTATAATGAGTTGTCAGTAACTGTGATGTTGCAGTAACTGGTCATTGAATTATCTACTCGTCGTACGAAAAGGGTAATAAAAAAAGAGAATATGTGATCACGAAACTCGCAGACATTCAGCATCTTAAAATGGTGATAATTAAAATAAACTATATCAGTAGATGCGCGTGTAAAATTAAAAACTGCTCTGCGAAAAAATTTGTCCACTTCTCTCTTCTCCTGTCTCTCACTACTATCATCTTTATAATAAGATATAGCAGTATCAGCAAATTGTACGCAAGATACATGAGAAATATTCGCTGTAATCTTCTTTGAACATCTCTGACGATTTTATCTCTCGTTAGACATCCGTAATGTCAGTTTGCGATCTGAGATTAATATATATGCCTACATCAACACATATCTATGTACCCATAAAGTGCACATACGTCATTGAATATAACAGATTATCTTAAAATAATTGAAAATATAAAACAAAATTTAAAATATAATATTCTCTTTGTAAATAAATTTTTCTGAAAAGTCACCAAATATTAATTTATACATCTAATATATTAGCATGAATGACCAATTTATGAGATAAAATAATGCTCATGTGTGTTGGGTCTTGGATATATACACAGTACATACATTACACACGCACGCACGTACACCATGTAGAGGTCAACAAAATCGCAAGAATTGAAGCTTACGTATCAAAGAATCAGAATCACAATCACAGTGTGGCCAGGGATGCCAATTCAGTTACATTTGCAGCACGCTGACAGCGCGTAAAGGAGATTACTCCCATGTATGCGTGCCTTGTCCGTGTGCGCCTCTTACTTCAGCCACACTTCAGCCGAAGTGAGAGGCGCACACAGACAGGGCACGCATCATGGGAGCCATCCCCTCTACGCGCTGTCAGCATGCTGCAAATGTAACTGAATCGGCATCTCTGAGTGTGGCAGCAGGAGCTATTATATTGTTTAGTGAAGTATATTGCACGTGATATGTTATACTCGCGATGTAATATACCTTATTAGGGTATTATTTGATATCACATGAACATTTTAACAGTCGATCTTTTGAACCGGGTGAAACTTCAGAGAGGAACACCTCGAAAATACGCGGAGAAATTATACGTCAAGTACTTCACAATGATGTTAATTTCTCATATAATCATTTCATGTCATATAGTTATGTTAAAAAAATATTTGGTATTTAAGAAGAAAAAAAAGAATTATTAATTAACGATAAAAATAATTAACGATAAACCTAATGTACAGCGCCCTGATTGAAGTTCTAAATAATGCAGGCAGAACATAAACATCCTTCTGATGTGTGATATTTAATAATAGTAATACCTTGTACCGTAATAGTATATCAAGTTTATCTTATAAATGCTAATTGGCTGGCGATATAACGATGTGTAGTTTTAGTATATCTTGATTGGGACCCACCAAAAAAGGAGATTCTTCCTCTTCGTCCGACAGCGATCCCTGCTGAGGATTGAGCTCATCGAATGGTAGGAGATCGTCCAAATTGAGGACGCGATCATTTTTGCTGAACCTGTGAACAATTTCTGTCACTCTCGCGATGTGTTCAACGCCATCTTGCAAGCCGTAGATCAGCACGCCTATCTTCACGCGCATATTACTGTTCACCGGCTCCTTGCATGTCAACGACAGCCTCACTGAGCGCTTCACATGCTCCGGCATCTCCACTGTGCCTTGCCACACTATGAGGAAAAACTTTTTGAACCATACGCCTTTCGGATAGATATCCACGATCCATTCGCACACCTTGTCGCCCGCGTACTCTGCTAAACTCGAGTGGCTGGAAAACACGAGCGTTCTTGTATGGTAGGATGGTAAGCTTTGAAAGTGCTCGATAGTCAGCAGCGAACTGCATGTGTCAACTGTATAGAGTCTTGGTTCAAACAGTAGCGCGCCATCTTCTTCCTTCTGGCTCACTTCTCTCACTCTGTCTGTCTGGCCTGAATGAAAGGACATACCAATCGACATGCGTTCCACGAAGAATTCTTTGTACTTTTTCGTCAACGGAGACAGCAACAAGTCCGCCAGTTGTCGCGGTGACATCATCGGGAATCTGATGGGCGACATCACGGTTACCACCAGCTGATACAGTGTAGTCTCTAGTTCGTCCGCCGACAATTGTGATTTCAATCGAAACGCCTGATGATTTAGCCACGATTCTATACACTTGTAGAGCGTCATCTCGTCTTTTACAACTATGTTACTTTGGTGCAACAGCGATACTAAGATGTCCAAGTCAAAGTTAACAAAGTCCGGAGTCTTCGCCACGAGTTCAAGATTCCACTTGACGAAGTTTTGGCACGCTTGGCTGATGTAGTGATGGCCGCAATTGGTTGTATACTGCAGCCATGACACCAGTGTGCCATGTATGGCAGCCAGTGCAATGTGGTTCTCCATGTAATCAAGGCACAATGATATTAAATCTTTCACGTTGTACTTATCGGCTAAGGACAGTATCGGTAGTACAACAGTGTAGTTGATCCTTATTTGGCCAGTGTAAAAGTAGCGCAAGAATTCGCTGAAGATTGGCGCACACTGGGGCGTTTCTTGAAGGGTTACCCTGCTTTCCTGAGATTCGCTCCATTGTGGGCTCATTAACATCACCTAGAATATAAAATGATATGGTGATTTACCAGACGATTTGTCAGACAGCACAAGATCTCCTCAGGACGTCCTGAAGACGTCCTGAAGACGAAGAAATATCCTCAGGACTTCCTTAAGATGTATTCTGGATGTTCCCTGGACATCTGTGCTGTTAGGGGTATTTTTCTCTATGATTAAAATATTAATATTATTATTTCACATTTTATAGATAGAGGATTATTACACATCTTTATAGCTGAAGGACTTAAGCTTAAAAAATATTTTATATGACTATTTTAATAATAAATTTTTTATAACTTTCTCTGGATCTGGTGCAGAAAAAATAATTGAAAAAAATATTTATAACTAAAAATATTTTCTGTTTTTAGAAGATGCCAGAAACAGTCCCCAACAATTAGTTAAGGTTCTATCAATTAGGACAAAAAATTGCTTGCTTTTAACACCTCTATTTATTTAAGCATAGTGTTTAATTTACTCAAAAGTGTAATGCAATGAAAGCATAAGTGTCAAGCAGAACAATGATGATAATATTTTTAACGATATTTATTTTCGTCCAGGCGAAAAAAGGGGAAAAAAGTGACCTTTTTTACAAAAAAAAAAAAAGTAACAAAAAAGTGACCATAATTAAAATACATGGTATTTAGTATTGTTAAAATTGATTATTACTTTGAACGAATTCAATATACAAAAATATAAAAAACAACATGTATTTATTTCAACATGAAGGAAAATCTTCAACATAACTTATATTTCATCACATTTAGGTATCACATTTAACCTTTTGCTGCATGATGGTACTCTCAGAGTACCACCTATTTCTAAGAAATTTTTTTTAATTTTTCCAATATTTAATATTCGACTTCTCTACTTTTTTTTTTATAATTTTACCTTAGTGATATGTTCAGGAGTATTGGGCAAGGTAGGATTTTTCTTTATTGTCTGTCAATTTGTTTATATAAATAAACAAAGTTAACCCTTTCAGACACATATTTTTCTATTTATCGGTTTTTCATGAAAATTGGTATACAGGGGTTTTTTGGGTCGCTGATTACGAATCTCTCGGTAGATTTTTATAATTCTTTTTCAAAGTGACGGATTCAATATGGCGGCTCACAAGTTTGGAGGTTTTTCATCGGTTTTTTATCAATATTAATATACGAGGTTTTTCCGGGTCTCTGATTATAAATCCGTCATTAAATTTTTATAGTTCACTTTCAAAATGGCGGAACCAATATGGCGGTTCACAATTTCAGGGCTTTTTCATCGGTTTTTTATGAATATTGGTATACGGGGGTTTTTCGGATCTCTAATTATGAATTCGTCATTAGATTTTTATAGTTTACTTTTAAAAGGGCGATTCCAATATAGCGTCTCGGAGTTTTGGAGTTTTCTGTCGATTTTTTACAAAAATTACATTTAAATTACATAAAAAATTAGTTTATAGGGGTTTTGTAGGTCACTGATAATGTATACGTCATCAGATTTTGACACTCACATCCGTTATGTTGAATCCGTCATTTTGAATGTGAATGTCAAAAATCTGTGGTAGAACTATGTAAAAAATAGACGAAGAAATGGAAAAAAATTTCCTGTCTATACAATCACGTGCAACGATTCGTCGAGTTGTCACACGTGATTGTATAGACAGGAAACTTCTTTCTATTTCTTTGCTATTATTTTTACGTAGTCCCACCACTGATGACGTATACATTATCAGCGACCTACAAAACTCCTATATATAAATTTTTGTAAAAAAATCGACAGAAAACCCCAGAATTTCTCCGACTTCGAGCCGTCATATTGGATCTGCCATTTTGAAAGTGAACTATAGGTCTGTTCTTTGTAGCTACACTACTAAACTGGTGCAATATATTGAAGTGAGACAAATATATGTTTTCTCACTCTAACTTATTGCAATAGTTCAGCAGTCAGCTACAACAGGCCTTATAAAAATTTAATGACAGATTCGTAATCAGAGACCCGAAAAAACCCCATATTACCAATATTCATAAAAAGTCAATGAAAAATCCCAAAATTTTAAGCTGCCATATTAGATCCGCCATTTTAAAAAAGAATTATAAAAATCTACCGATTCATAATCAGCGATCCAAAAAAAACCCCAGTATATCAATTTTCATGAAAAACTGATGGATAGAAAAATGTGTACCTAAAAGGGTTAATACAAAGGAAGTTTTTACTTAAAGTAACTTAAAAATAAATAGACCATAGGAAGGAAGAGGGCGTATTAGGTGGCGAAGGGACGCCGTGCGTTCGGGCTGCGCAACGACGCCATACCGATCCGACAGTTGTCGATAAACGTATATGAAATAGTACCTATAGAGATCTAGCCCAGTTGCATGCGTTAACATGTGAAGGAGATGATTCTGCATGTTGCGTGCTTGCATGTAAGCGCTCGACTTCACGCCACCCGAAGTTAACGTACACAACTGGGATACATCTCTGGCACTTCTGCTCGCGGCAGCGTGCGGCTCGTATGAATTTTAGAGCGCGGCAAAAACACTGTCTGAATAAGCTCTTAGATGCGCGACACTCAAGCCAATCGCGTGGTTTGCGGCGGCGACGGCGGGTGGTCGCGCAGTCTTTTCGAAACAAAAAACTGCGAAAAATGATGGAAAAAGGATGGAATAAATAATAGAGTTGACGTACATATTTTTAATATGTATGTTACATATATGATTTTTAGCTGAGACGCACCTGTATGTAAATTATTTATAACATATTTTCAGATTATGAATGACAAAAAAAGGGAAATAGTGACCAAATTTGAAAAAAGATGACTAAAAGCAACTTCTTGAAAAAAAAAGTGACAAAACGGAAAAAGTGACTCGCTGGCAGCTCTGGAACTGTTATATAGAAGTAAATTGTATGAATTTGACCTATACTCACTTGGAAAACATCACTAGAAGCACAAAGTATAAGTCGATGTGCAGGATATTCCACACCATCAACAACAAGACAGATGTCATTCATAAGACGCTCTGCATACAGTGTTGCTATTTTTAATAGCACTGTATGTGAATTATCTACCTGCAATTGGATCAATTCTCAGTACATTGTATCGTCACACCAATAAAATAACGTTCAATTACCTCTATAGTATCCGTTGTTACAGGCTCTGTTATAGTACTCTGATTTTTGTAATCTTTATTCTTGCTGTAATCCATCCTTGAAAAATTTGTCATCCACCTAAGAGTACTTCGTAACATCTGTGCATGATTCCTTAGCGTAATTATAATTCAATCGTCGTCTTACATTGCACAGAATAAAATCTTAAGGTACTAAATTTGTTCTCTTGACTTCTATTTTTAATTGGCAATGGAAACTCTTCACTAAGGAAATCAGAGTAATCAACTGCATATAAATTAAATTCTATGAAAAAAATTAATTATTTCTATAATGAATACTGCTACATAACTGATAATGTTACAATATTATAAATCTAACCTACAATGTACTTATTGCTTTTTGTTTCTTGTTCACTATCTTTTTCTCGCTAAAGTTAAAAAGTTTAAGTTAGAAAGAGATACAGAGAAAGAAATAGGAAACACAAAGTTTACATTGTAGATCTGGGCACAAACAAGATCGAAACATCATGCAAAGGTTAAGGTTAGATCACAACATTGTTACAAACTGCTCTACGCGACAACTGAAAAGCTTCTGCTCTTACCTAAATAAGTTTGTCGAAGGGCAGTTCGTTAAGTACGATTGGCGAATTTGTTCAAACTTCGAGTTTCAAAATTTTATGTAACTTTGACGTTCTCGCAATGGTATCTCCCTCTTGTTTTATCACAGTTAGGTGATACACTCGTTATTATACTCACTATTATTATTACACTGTATAACGATTATTATATGAATATTCGTGAATATTTCAAAAGACTCTTTCAGAACGTGAGCGTATGTACTCTTTTCGTTATCAGACTTTTTTTAGGATTATGACTTATCGATGTTTTCCTATATATTTCTATGATAAAGATGTCACTGCGTCCGATATCCTCTCTCTCTCTCTCTCTCTCTCAATATGTGGTCTGTTCTTTTCGGCTGCACTGCTAAACTGGTGCAATAAGTTAGAGTGAGAAAAAATATACTTGTCTCACTCTAACTTATTGCACCAGTTCAGCAGTGCAGCCGAAAAGAACAGACCAATGGCTTCAGGCAACCAAAAGGCGTGCGTCCGATATCCAATGTATAGTATGCTGCTTAAAGGACAGTCTACAATGGAAGTAAAGTATGACTGTGAGAAATAAGAGTAAGAAATTGACCAATCACAATCGAATGTGAGAAGAATAATCGACTATGATTAGTCAATTTCTTACACTTCTTACAGCCATACTCTACTTCCATTGCAGACTGTCCTTAAAGTTCTGATCTACAATAGAATTGCATCCCAAAACGTCCTTTTTGAGGAAATTTTACTCGATATTCTATAGTATATGTAACATGAATGGTCAATGGACTTTGTTTCACAACCATAGTAATAATAACAACTATGTAACATAAACTATAAGTATTAAAATTTTCTTCAAAAAAAGAATCTAGAACTGCGTTCCGAAATTCACTGCCAGTGCTGAAATTCTATAGTATACGTAACATGAACTATAGATTTTCAGTATTGGCAATAAATTTCGGAACGCAGTCTAGATATTTAAGATTAAGTTTTAAATATTGACCAATCACAATCAAATATGAAGAGAATCGGCTGTGATCAGTTTTTAAGGTTAAATCATTTATTGTAGATCGGGATTACGAGTCCAATAGGAAAATTTGTTTTCCAGAGATTTTAGCTCACGTTAGTTTTTTAAGAGGTTACATTTTTGGCGCCAAAAAATTAACGTATTTTGGCAATTATTTTTCAGGAAGGAATCAAAATAAATTGAAAAATTAATAATATTACATTGTTTCTTGATATTTTATTTATATAAACAAAATTCTTTTCTGTCCAATTTGGTTATATATAGGCTCTGCAATCTGCAGCCAGTGCTGCGAGATCGCGAAACTTTTGGTGCATTCGCTTTGGGCTCTTTGCACTGTAAATGTCATTCTATCTTTTTCCCGCAGGTAATGAGCGATAAAGATAGAATGACGCGTAAGCGTCCAAAGCGAACGCACCAAAAGTTTTGCGATCTCGCAGCACTGTGTGCAGCCACATCACCTTTGCATGAAAATCCGGGTTCCATGGATAGTATCCTAACTTCCTGTAGAAACACAAAATTATTAAAATTACAGTACTGTCTTGTAGAATAATATTCTAGCTAAGGGCCATCAGTTCAAATTTTTTAATTTGTGAAAAATAAAAAATAAAAAACTTGTGCAAAATTATTATTAGCGATGAAAATTTTTTATGACACTAAAGGCCAAATCACACTAGCAATTGGCGATTGACGATTGA